TATATATATATATATATATATATATATATATATATATATATATATATATATATATTATATATATATATATATATATATATATATATATATATATATATATATATATATATAAAACATTGCTAGTTTGCCTTTTTGCCACACTGAATCATTAAGAGGGGCATCATACTAATTTGTCTAATTCTGGTCGAACATTAGTGAAAAGACTGCCTTTCTAGTTTTGTATCTCCCTACATAGGCTATACAACTTTGAAAACAGCTGAAAACACATGGAGTGTAAACAAGAGATGGCACTAATTTTTTTAAAATACTGGAAACAAACTATCAGGCAAGCGGATATGCATTTCACATCGTGCTGTTTACATTTGAGAACTTGCATAGAGGTTTTTATAATATGCAAAATCTTTAAAGCTTATTTTAGCAATAAGCTGAAAAATTCTGTAAATACTGATATGTAACGCTCATCTTCAACTTATCACAGACTGTATTGAGGATGTCTGCCATAACATACAAGCTGAACTTTAACCCTTGCTGATACCCACAAATGACAGTGATATTTCACCCCACTTCTGAAGCGAATGGTGACATTAAAAGGAAAAAGGATGCAAGATACTACCCCATGCAAAATCGGTCCCACACAGGTTTACAAAGGCTCGTGTATACACTACTTCTGAACCCAGCTATCAACATTGATTCTTCTGACTACCATATTCTTTTCCCAAATATACATAATGCTGACGATAAAAACAGCTTGTACAAGCAATAACTCACTTTGACGAGGTTGACGACGGCTTTGGAGACAGCCATGACCGGCTTCTCCAAGTCTGGCATCGCGTTGCCATCTTCCGCTTCCTCGTGCAGGATCACCAGACGAGAAACCTAAGAGAAATTTACATGTAAGTTACTTTTCCAACACAAAATAAATTTGTAAATAATGTTTGAAAAATTGATGGCTACTCTGAGAATGACTATAGAAAATAAATTAAGGAGTACAGCTATAAAAAAATTCTAATGTAGTAAATGTGTGGAACAAGGGGAATGGGCCACACAGTATCGCATAACTATGAGTGTCAACTCAAGTCGTGTGAATCTGACATCACCTTATGACGGTACATTCTTCAATAAAGACTTGAAAACTTGACCTCTTTTCATGTCGTAACATATGCTTGAGAGAATAAGCGAAAATTTGTATGCTCTATGCCATTAAGTTTACATTTCCTGTTTATGTGTCCATATTGGGGAGGGCAAAAGTTGTTCAATGTTCTTTCACGTGAACAAGTTAAATCGTCTAATCTGGCATACCACTACTTCCTGTGATAAAATATCACCATCCTTCATACCAACTACATGGATCACCCTCCAATCAGTGGTATGACATTATGTTCTCGCAGCTGCCATGATTTACATTAAGGCCTCGCCCTAGAACTCGTGACCCACCTGCAACACAACTTAATGCGCGCATGCCCTCGAGAGGGAGCAAAAGAAAGAGAGCGAGTCAAACAGACAAGCAAAGAATGAGACAACGAAATACAGAGAAATAAGAGACAAAAATAGAATGAGAGACAGAGAAAAAGAGAAAATGAAAGAAAAAGAGTGAGAGTCAAGCAGACTGAGAAGGCGACAACGAAATAGAGAGAGAAAAGAGACAAAGATGGATCAAGAGAGAGAGAGAGAGAGAGAGAGAGAGAGAGAGAGAGAGAGAGAGAGAGAGAGAGAGAGAGAGAGAGAGAGAGAGAGAGAGAGAGAGAGAGAGACGGGAAAGGAAGGAGGCAGGGAGAATGAAAAAGAGAAAGAGACGAAAGAGAGGGAGAGGGAGATTGAAAATTGAAGATTTAGTTTTAAAATCATTTGTTACAAAGGAAATTCTCTGCTGTGACATACTGTCCATTTTATTTTGCTTCTAAATCTCCCCCTGTGTGCAAGGGATGGCCGGGGTTACCATCCACTAGAAGCGTGTGGGATTGAACACAGGTCACCAAGATTGCTAGACCAACACGCTAACCGTTGCGCCACATAGAACAAAGGAGGAGGGAAGAGGGAGAGGAGAGGGAGAGGGAGAGGGAGAGGGAGAGAGGAGAGGGAGGGAGAGGAGGGAGAGGGGAGGGGAGAGAGGGGGAGGGGGAGAGAGAGGGAGAGGGGAGGGCGAGAGAGAGGGGGAGGGAGAGAGAGACGGGGAGGGAGAGAGAGAGGGGGGAGGAGAGAGAGAGGGGAGGGGAGAGAGAGGGGGAGGGGGAGGGGAGGAGAGGGAGAGGGGGAGAGAGAAGGAGAGAGAAGGAGAGGGGAGGGGAGAGCGAGGGAGAGAGAGGTAGAGGGGGAGAGAGAGAGAGAGAGGGGGAGAGCGAGGGAGAGAGAGAGGTAGAGGGGGAGAGAGAGAGAGAGAGAGAGAGAGAGAGGAGAGAGAGAGAGAGAGAGAGAGAGAGAGAGAGAGAGAGAGAGAGGGAGGCCTCGAGAGATAGAAAAAGAAAGAGGGCAAGAATGAGAATGAGACAACGAACGAGAGCGAGACAAGAGACAAAGAGAGAGTAAAAGAGAAAGAAAGAGAGGGGGAGGGAGAAAGAAAATGAAAAGAGAGGGAGGGAGGAAGGAGGAAGGAGGAAGGAGGGAAGGAAGGAAGGAAGGAAGGAAGGACGGAAGGAAGGAGGAGGGAGGGAGGGAGAGGAGGGGAGAGGGAGAGGGAGAGGGAGAGGAGAGGGAGAGGGAGAGGAGAGAGAGAGAGAGAGAGAGAGAGAGAGAGAGAGAGAGAGAGAGAGAGAGAGAGAGAGAGAGAGAGAGAGAGAGAGAAGGGAGGGGAGGGAGGGAGGGAGAGAGAGAGGAGAGAGAGGGAGGAGAGAGGGAGGGAGAGAGAGGAGAGAGAGAGAGGGGAGGAGAGAGAGGAGGGAGAGGGAGGGAGAGGAGGGAGAGGGAGGGAGAGAGAGAGGAGGGAGGAGGGAGAGGAGAGAGGGGGGAGGAGAGGAGAGAGAGGGAGGAGAGAGGAGAGGGGGAAGAGAGAGAGAGAGAGAGAGAGAGAGAGAGAGAGAGAGAGGAGAGAGAGGGAGAGGGAGAGGAGAGAGAGGAGAAGGGAGAGAGAGAGGGAGAAGGGAGAGGAGAGAGAGGGAGAGGAGAGAGAGAGAGAGAGAGAGAGGGAAGAGGAGAGAGAGAGAGAGAGAAGAGAGAGAGAGAGAGAGAGAGAGAGAGAGAGAGAGAGAGAGAGAGAGAGAGAGAGGAAAGAGAGAGAGAAGGGAAAGAGAGAGAGAGGGAAAGAGAAGAGAGAGAGAGAGAGAGAAGAGAGAGAAGAGAGAGAGAGAGAGAGAGAGAGAGAGAGAGAGAGAGAGAGAGAGAGAGAGAGAGAGAGAGGGGGGAGAGAGAGGGAGAGAAAGAGAGAGAGAGAGAAGAGAAAGAGAGAGAGAGAGAGAGAGAGAGAGAGAGAGAGAGAGAGAGAGAGAGAGAGAGAGAAGAGAGAGAGAGAGAGAGAGAGAGAGAGAGAGAGAGAGAGAGAGAGAGAGAGGAGAGGAGAGAGAGAGAGAGAGAGAGAGAGAGAGAGAGAGAGAGAGAGAGAGAGAGAGAGAGAGAGAGAGAGAGAGAGAGAGAGAGAGAGAGAGAGAGAGCGAGAAGAGAGAGAGAGGAGAGAGAGAGAGAGAGAAGAGAAGAGAGAGAGAGGAGAGAGAAGAGAGAGAGAGAGAAGAGAGAGAGGAGAGAGAAGAGAGAGAGAGAGAGAGAGAGAGAAGAGAGAGAGAGAGGAGAGAGGAGAGAGAGAGACAAAGAGAGAGAGAGACAGAGGGAGAGAGAGAGACAGAGGGAGAGAGAGAGAGAGGAGAGGGGAGGGAGAGGGAGAGAGAGGAGAGAGGGAGAGGGAGAGAGAGATGGGGAAAAAATAAGAGTGAGAGTAGACACATCACACATGTATACACCATGTAGATGATTTTTCAACTGACTATCTGTCCCGGGCTAAATTCCTAAAGAATTTCGCGATAGAACGGATTTTCTCTCACCTGGTATTCTAGTTCGTTTCAGAAAGTGACGGATGAGAGGGGAGGGTCTCGTCCCGGGCAGGATTAAAACGGGATTACAAACGGGATACAAGCTTCGTTTATCTAATCAGTAGCTCGAAAATGAAAACAATGTCCACATGTGTGTCCATCTATATGTTTATAAATTGCGTAACTATTATACTTTACATCTAATCTTCATAAAATCTCTCAACAGGAAATCCACTCGAGGACTTAGTTCCTATTTGTGTCTCTTTTAGTCGTGCTGTGTTGCCCACGGCTGTCGGAGCGAAGCGATATGTGGAGATTGCTGCACGTCGCGTGTTTGCTGTAATGGTTGCAGCCGAGGAAGCGGTTGGTCTTGTTGGGCTTTTTGACGAATCATTTGCTGAGCTCTGTTATACTATATCTAATAGGCTGAGGTACGATCATGGGCAGGAAGACCATGCAAGGGGTGCATATTCCATGACTGAACGAACTTGAGCTGCATACAGAGTGGAAATACCACGAGCATCCAGGTGAGATGCGCCTCTCACAGTTCAGCCTCCGCGCGGCTTTCTTGGCGACACTGCGAAGGTGATTTGTGAAAGTCAGGGTATCATTGACTTCCAAACCCAGGATGTTGATGAATGCCTGGAGTGACAGTGCTCTCTCCTCCAATAGAACAGTGAGAATGTGTTTCATAGGTTCGTTGAGGTCGAGATATAAGCATTAGCTGTGTTTTATCTGGAGCTAAATCGACTTGCCAGCGTCTACCCCATGAGACGATGGTTTGAAGAGCTTGGTTCATGTGAGCGACTGCATGATGACCCTGCGGAACACTGGCATCTATCGGGATTTCCTCCGAGATGCAACCATTCACTGATACCTTGACGGATCTACCTCTCAGGTAGTCTTGCATAAGGCGGAGAAGATAGCCGTGCACTCCCATGCTGTTCAGTTTGGCGGCGAGGCCGAGGTGCCACACACCGTCAAATGCCCCTGGAATGTCGAGTGTTATGACAAAGGTATCCTTGCCTTGTGCAAAGTACTGGTCATGTGGAGCAGTAAGTCAGCTGCTGACCTATTTGTTCGAAAACCGAATTGTTTGTTGTTGAGCAGATGCTGAAAGGTAAGGAACGACATTATTTTGTTGGCTATGAAGGATTCAAAGATCTTACCAAGAACTGAGAGGAGGGAGATGGGGCTGTAGTTCTTGGGATTTTTTTTTTTTTTTTTTTTTTTTTTTGTGAATGACCACCACCCTTGCAACCTTCCAGGATGGCCACTTTCCAGAGGTTAGACATCACTGGAAAATACTTGTATGAGGTTCAGTCAAGTGAGAGGCACATCTTTTAAGGACGTGGGCCCGCTAATTTTGTCAGGACCAAGAGCTTTCTTGAGGTAGACTTCTAATAACTTTTGCATGACCTCCTTTTGTGTGACGTGAAGAGTATCCAAACTCGCCTTCGTGAGTACAGGTACATTTGGTGGATGGCGCTTGGGATCAGGCACTGTCATCTTGCTTGAGAAGGCAGCAAGTACCTCGGCTTTATCTTTGCTCTGAGTTGCAACTGTATCATCACGTTTTTGCAGTGGCGGTATGCTGTCATCAGGAGCGAAACCCTATTGCTGTATAAGGGTGCTCCACTAAGACTTGCTGCCCACAGACTGCCCACTGAGCTTACTTTTTAGGTCTAGTTGCCATCGCCGCTGAGCCCATCTCTCATAGTTAGGCAGCTTTGTCTGTAGAACTGCTTGTTGATTGAGGTTGGGTGTCTTGTGTAGCGCCTCCAAGCACGGCTCTTTTCATCAGCAGCCACTCTGTAATGGTAACCAAATCATGGCTGGTCGCGAAGTCCGACTTAATACGAATTTCAAGGAACATAGTTATTTTGGTGATTGCAATATACGAGGTTTCCCTATAATCCATCA